TGATGTAGGAAATTGGCATATTGCTCCAACTGTTATGGATATAAAGAGAGTTTAGGAAATTTGGATGCTTTCATTTTTTGAAATACCCATAATATGTCTCAATCCCAATTTCTAATAATTATAAGCAATATTTTAGAGTTTAGATCGATGGATTATCTTTTCATAAACCTGTAATCAAAACAAAATGGAAAAGAAATATAAGAACTTAGATAAAATTGAAGAAAGAATATGTAACCAAAACGCAGAAGAGAGAATGATGTTTGAATCATTGCTTAAAGAAGTGCTTACGTTTAATGGTCAACCATGTTTTAGATAGGATTGTCTCTAATAGGATAGTACTAGTGTGTAGGCAAAAAAAAAAAAGTTTAATTATTGAGATAAAAAGCAATGACCAAAATTTTCAAAGATAAAAACTAACCCAAATTAAATAAAGGAATTTAGATTCAAGTATTTTTCTGTTGATTGATTTGGAAATTTAGATTGACAAAGAAATTATAAGTTATTTTAATTTACTACAGAAATTATAATTTATCTTAATTCTCACAAAGCAAAAATCATGAAACACGCTAACATTAGTAACTACTTGCAACGATATTTGTTTCTCAGAGGACCGTCATAAAAGAACTGGGTGCCCCAATCATCAGATTAACCATTGGGCACAATATATTAATTGTGGCACTTAGAATGGTCAATGTGATTGAAAAGTAATTAGCATTAGGAGACACAACTTTGGTGATCTTTATCTTATACATATCGTCATCTAGCAATTTCCTTCGATTGGATCCTACATATATCTATATTGCATAAAGATTTTAGACAGATTGGACATATAATGAAGATAAATATATCAAATCAATTTTCAATACATGTTTTTGGAGTTGAACCAAAGAAGACTAGTACCCACTATCTCAGCTAATCATATCTGATAGTTATAATATGGGGAACAGATAGATTATTCGATTGAATAAACTAAAAAAAATAAAACCCAATGTTTCCTGTTAATCTAACTTACAGTTGGCCATCCAATTGCCTGCCACAAAAATTTGCAATAATATATAAGTTTAAAATCTCTGGCATAGGATTCGTCAGGTGACTCATCATCCACTTGGTGATATTTAATTTCATTGAACCTTCTTGAGGAAAAATGAACACTTTCCATTGTAAATTGTGGTGTGGTGCATGTGTTGCACATATATTAAATTTTAAATTTAATTTTTCACCTTTGCACTCTATATCAAGGATGAGATGCGTGAACATATAATAATATTAATATTGGTTGATTTCATCGACTAATTAATTTCCTTCACTTGGAGGATCGCTTGTTATCATCTCTATGAAACTTTAGATAGATTATTTGATATATATATATATATATATAAAAGATAAAAATTAATATATAAATCAATTATAAATACTGTTTGTAATAATGTTGATGTCAATTGACCATACAGTTTGGTTTCAAAGGAATGGCTTTTATAGAGAAATCTCCTGCTGTTTTATTGGCAATGGGAAAATTTAAAACAAATGAAGAGTGGTTCCTTGAATAAGATGCATCCATTAGGCTTGTTTTGGCATGAGAATCGTATCTTCAGTTGTTTCTAATGCTTAGGTATAGAATGATTTAACAAAGCTGATATTTTAACTTCCTTTTTAGCTAAATGTTCTTGAATTTTTAAATAAAAAAAAGGAGATCACAAAAATGGAAAGTCAAAATTAAATAATAATAAAAATCGAATACGAATTATAGAATAAAATACAAAAAATGTTAGAATAAAATAGAAGAACATATAGAATAAATAAAAAATTGAATTAATTGCAAATAAAAGCTGGTTCCTAGTCCACACAGCAAATGTACAGGTTATGACAAGTAATATCGTAATGAAAAAAATACCATTCCTATGATCAGTTAATTCTAAAACTCAATGGATTAAGTATACATCATCACAAGACTTTTTTGTGTATATATACAAGACTTAATTATTTGTTACATGCTAACTATATATATTCTGCAAGACTGCAACTATATACAACAAATCCTAACCAATAGTTTTAGGTAGTTACTGTGAAGATAATACTACCTCTGGTCCTAATTATAAGACCTTGTTTATAGACTATAAATGAATTCATATAATTAGGACAGGAGGTAGTATTTCATACAATATTTACACTATGTCATGTATCACATTATAGAGCCTACTCATCTTTTCACATTTGTGTGTGTGTGTGTAAGCAAAACCTTTTTATCTCATCCACCGTTAAAGGGTAACACCACCACTTACTGACCAGAACTAACCATGATAGAAAGGACTAAAACTAGTAAACATACTCTATCATGGTTATTTAAGAGCAATCACATCATTAAGGGGCTAACCATGATAGAAAAGCATTCGACATTAATTAAGGCTATCATGGTTAGAAAAAAAAGAATAACCTATATTTGTAATCATGGCAAACATGGTTATAAAACAATACGCCTTTGAATGATAAATTATAATAGCAGTTTAGACTTGACTATCTTAGTCAATACTAGCAACAACTAAACTTGCAAAAATTGCCATTGTCACATCATGGATCCACAATAATTCAATCACATGCAATCTAAGGGCCTCGGGCCCACTATCAGCACTCTAGTCTAATGTTCAGACAAAATAAACCAAAGATAGAAGGTATAATGCGTTCACTAAGTCAAATGACATAAAAATATGAGAAGGTAAAATAAGTCCCAAATGAATGCAATCCTGATGCGTGGCAATATACGAAAAGATTGCATAAAATAAGGTCCAGAAGCTCTACACTGTCAGCTACAGCTATTGAGCCTCAGGAGTCTTCCCCGAAGGTCCCGCTAACGTATTGTTTCCTAAAAATGGTAAAGCAACAGGAGTGAGACAACGTCTCAGTAACTAAATCCCTACCTATCCCACACCCTAGCATGGGCTAGCGAGGTGTCAGGTGGGATACACAAAGTTAATAATAGTTGATAAACATTTATTTAAACATTTAAACTCACAATAATCATACAAGACAAATATTTCCACCAATCTCATGCAATTGATACATTTCAAAAGAGATAACACACTTGTCATTTATTTAAAAGATATAAATATCAATGAATATTCCACATCATATGCAATTCCTGAACCCAAATCCATCCTTATATCCTCCTTATTTCTGCCAACTAGACCCATGGGCTAAGTTCTTTCATTTGACTGGCAACTCTGACAAGCTCACCACACGAATGATGTGGACCGGCCAAAGACCACAGAGCACTCAGTGGACCATGGGTCCCCCCTCGAAGAACTAGTGGGGTGTCGCAGTCCCTCGAAGAACTAGTGGGACAATAATAGCAGCCAACCATAGAGCTCCGTATGGAGGCTAATACCACGTGGCAAGTATATGAATCTCAATAACTCCAATTATCTCCTTTCCCCACCCAAAATAGATGCACAGGGTTTAAAATGACACATTTATATGTATAATCAACGGAATTTCATAATAACACATCATAATCATGATCACCAATTTCTTGCAATACAAACTATGTCAATCCTTTTTAAAATAGCATCCCACAAGACAGTTCATACAAAATGTAATATACTTTTATAGAATTAGTTATAAAGCCGCTCACCAACTTCATGCTAGAGTATGCAACAGATAGAAATTTAGTTACCTGGTCTCCTAGCTAACAGTCAACTACAACCAGAGTCCAACCTCGAAAATGCCACAATAGAGTTTATATCTACAAACAAAATTAAAATATTATCTCTATAGTATTAGAGTAGGCTACTCACAAAATTCTAGCCTCCAACTCCTCTAAAAGCTTAAATTTTCCTCAGAACTCTAGCCTAAAAGACATTTCTCTAAGGTTTGAAATGAGAACATATATATATGATTTAGACTCGATTCTTAAATTTTCCTTACTTAAATATCCTTTAATTATTAGATTATATTATTAGAATCATCGAATTCATAATGTAAATAGACAAACTGTAAATTTATAACTTATATTCCATCTTCGAAGGACTTAGACAAATAGACTTAGTATGAACCAAGTTATTCTCACTACAGAAGTTAAACCCTTAATCTAACCGTTGAATTTAATTTCCTATCTATCATGATACTATCCTCCAAATTATAGCTCAATCTAACGGTGAATGAACTTTAAAAATGCTAATTTACTATTCAAAACTCTATCTGCTAAATCCAAAAGATTTAAGTTAAAAACGTACCTAATAACTTGTAACTCAGAGATCAAAATAATGATCCAACCGTTGAAATTAACGATTTGGATGTCCCAAATGGGCTGACCAAATTTCAGTCCGATCCAACGGTTAATAAACTCAAAACTAGCACTTTTCTGAGACTACCTCAGATATGTGCGAAAATTATTTACTCACTTCAAACTCCACTTACTATCTCCTATATATAGGCTCCTCAAACTCCTTCACTCTAAAGATTAGTCGATGTGGGACTTCTATACCATGGTATAATTTTTAGAATATCATCCACACACACACACAATCACACACAAAAACATTATTAACATAATAATAATAATAATAATAATAATAATAATAATAATAATAATAATAATAATTTGCCTATATCTAACTTTTTTTATAATTAACTTAATACTAAAATATATTTATTTATAAATTTAATTAAATAGATAAAAATAAGGATGTTACATAAAGCATACAACATACCTAATCAAACATATATAGGACAACATTATACATACTATACAATGTCACACCAAACATTACATAGCATTATAATCTTATCTAGCCTTATTTCATTAGGCTTTATTTTATAAAATATGCCACCAAGCCTGGTATATAGTACTAATGATGAGGTTAGGGAATTCACCCCATGCTACAATTGAATTCCTTTATTTCCTAAGTACACAGCTTTAGAGACTTTTCAAAGTCTCCTAATATCTAGTTTCCCATCGAGCTAGCTAGCTGGGATTATCTTGATTTTGTCAAATAGCTAGTTTAATATTAAGTTTGACAAAATGGGTTTCTTCCGGGACCACCATAGTAGAAGTTGGCACCCCAATCATCAGAATAATCACTTAGGACAATGTCGTAGCACATGGGTTTGCCAGCAAAAGTGCTGAAGTACTTGGGAGTCACAAAATAATTTTCTTCATTAACAATGGAAATGTCCTTGAAAAAGCTAGCCCTCCCAAAACCTGCTCGAGCGAAATATCCACTTCCCATTTCTGTTGTTGTGTGTTTCCCTTCAGATTTCTTGTTCATCACTTCACCTCCCCACTGTATTATTGATACACTCTCAGACAGGCGATCAAACATAGAAGCTGGCCAGTATCCCACATCTGTATCCCCAAATCTCATCCACCAGTTCCCACTTCGTGGATCCTGCTGACTAATTAGTATTACGTTTAGTGTTAGTTTACATTAAACCAGGACAAAAATTAAAAATCAGATGGCATTATGAGGATTTATATTATGATTGTTTTAAAAAGGGATTTATGTTAGTTCTATCTCCGAAAAAAGCTATACCTTCCAGATAAGGATGGAGATTCCATATTGAGAACCACCATCGTCAGATAATGGTTGGAGGGTGGCTCCCATCAATACCGTATTGGAAACTTGAACAAAGCCAGGACATTTTAGGTTATAACAGCCAGTATGTTCATAGGAATCACTCTGTGGGATGAAGAAATAATCCATTTGAAAAAAACAACAAAAAGCGAATGATGTGAAGAAACAAGAAATTGGGTTGATAAGAAATTTGAACTTACTGTCCAATATGCAAAAAGTCTTGGTTTATCATCCCCATATAGCATTGGATGGATCTAGTTGTCCAAATCAAGGAACAGCGTACCACGTACAGAGTTAATACATTTCTTGAATAGACATGTTGAAATGTACTGATGATGCGTACGTGTGATATGTGAGAGAAATTATAGAATACCTGCCAACCTGCTTCGATGCTTTCGGCATTATCAGTATCATCTTGATTCATAATCCAAATTTGAGAGAGACTAAATTCATTGCGTCTTTGAACACTTGTCTTCCAAATGTTTATGAATGCTTTGGCTCCGTAATATTCATCTCCCTTCACTTCAGCTGTGTGATGCTACCAAATATTAAAACGCACCGCAAGTGTACGGGTCACAAAAATAGATAGTAGCAAATCAAGGTCGATCCCACAGAAAACTCAAATAATAGTGATTAGGCAATAAAAATTCTCTTTTGTTTAAGTTGAGAAAAATCAGGATTTAATGAAATTGGGTGAAAAGAAATTAAAATAAAACAAAACAAAGCTTTCTTCAGTTAATTTAAGCAAATATTAAAAGGCCAACCTAGAGTCACTAATCCCTTGCTAGCTTTTTAAACCTTGTTTCACTGAATTGATTCGCTTTAATGTTAATTTTGTTAATCTAGAGTTCAATTAGTTACAAGTGCCTGACGGTCCACTTATAACCCTCTCTTAAATTAATTATGTAATCTTTCACACAATTACCTAAGAGGCTAAACAATTTGGTCTCACTTATCAACAATTATACGGGACAATTAGATATAATTCTATCCTAATCACAAATTAGATTATCATCCAATCCCATATTACTTAATCTAAGAGCTTAATTAAAATCCCTTTTGTCAAGGAAAACTTTAATTCTCAAATTCACAATTAATGGTGGCCAGTCATCAAATGGACAAATAAAAAACAAGATTAAGTAACTAAAATTTAATATTAAGCATCCCCGGTTCATTGAAAACAAAGCTTAATCCACTAACAAGTTCATAGTTTCTCTAAGCTGTAAAACACACTGGCCACACATGACTTCAAGCAATCTCAATTCAGCAACAATAATTCCAGATTCAAAATCATGATAGAAAGAAAGAAAGATTGGAAACAAAACACTGTTCGAAGCTCCTATCACAGCTCGTGCTCCTCTGCTCAAAACCAGATTCGGCCTCTCGCAATGTCTGCCTCCTCCCTCTCTCGCTCACTGAACCAGTCGAGTCCAAAGAACAAGAGAAGAAGATGAGGTCCAGTCTCCTTGCTGTGAACAGTGTCGAACTTCTCCTCCTGCAGAACCCGTCGGCCACCTTCAGAGAAGAAGTTCCAGTCGCGCCTCACTCCCTTCCTCACTATTCTTCTCGGCGTCTCTCTTCAGAATCCAGCGAAGAAGAAGATGATACAGAACTGCTCCGCACCAGTTCGGCGCTTTCAGTCTCCGACCCTCCTGTTTGGGCGCCTTCAAGATGAATATCCCCCAAATCCCGCAACGCCCTCCAGGTCTCAACGATTCAAAAATTGCTTCTCCAAAACGTTGTCGTCCCCCATCTCCACCATCAGCACGTGCTCCCCATGATCCCATTCAAGAATTTCCTAGACAGGGCGTTGATGCTTGCTGAAAGAGGGAGAAGAAAATAAAACAAAAAAGAAGAAGGAAAAATTAAAATGAAAAGGCAAACAAAATAAAAGGAAACGAAATAAAATATAAGAAATTGAAATAATAGAAAATAAAACCAACTAAATCTTAAACTTAATATTAATTATTTTTATTTATTTCAAACTAAGATATTTATAATAAAATCACCCAAATAATGCTCACAATTAATTTCTTTTCAAAGCTCTTTTAAATCATCCAAAATCCTATTGATAACTCTCTAAAAAAACTCTCCAAAAATCACTCAAAATATTCTTTCAAGATATTCAAAATAATGAGTTATCACTGTTGCATACTAGAGGCACCAAAGCCATCAAAGACGAATATAATGTACGTATTTAACATACAAACACACACAAACAAGCTCTCCTTTTAGTCTGAAGTGAAAACCTTCAGTTATAATTAATCCCACAGTATTGAAAACCAGACTAGACCGACCAGTTTAGACCAGAAATTGGTGAACCAACCAGGTAATCGATCCAGTTGAGTCTGTGAACCAGGTTCATGGTGATCTAGTGTGACTCGGACTGAACCGGGGTGACTTGGACTGACCCGGGGGTGACCCGCCTGATTTGGTGGGTTAACCTGGGTCCCCTTTTTGTTTAAAAAAAAATATTTTGATGATTTTTTTTTAAAAGCTGTTGATAATTAGGATCTAATGATTGAATAATTATAGGGAGAAATATTTTGTTATCATATATCTATTGTGATATTTTGTTGGGATGAATATTTAGTGATTTTAGTAGTATGATATTATAAGAAATTGTAAGGATGTGATTATTTTACTAGTGATTCAAGATATTAAATTGATATCTAGTTCTTAGTGAACATTGAAATTATTTTTTATTTCTTTATTTATCACCGGTTTGACTCCGGTCTAACCTACTGACCCTTGACCCATTGCCTTGACCGATTCAATTGCCGGTCCGGTTTTCAGTACCTTGATTAATCCTGGTTCGACTCTGCTACCTATATCCAATCTCTCCAACAACACAAGTTTGATTAGTAAACACCAAACTATATTGTTTTCTAAGTCATATGTTAAATTTAGTGAGTAAATTGTTGGGATTGCAGGGAGAAACCCAAAAATGGGCCTGCAAAACCCAAACTGAGAAATCCTGAAAAAGGGGAGAGACCAAATTGGGTTAGGAACTGGGGGATTATGCGTATAAGTGGTCTCCCACTATATCTGAATCCAAAATCTTAGGGAAATAAGTTTATGCTGGGTCCTTCCATTTATATTCCATCTTTTAACCCAACTTTATCCAAGTCAAGTCAATCCACTCCTGACATGCCAACGTATATTTTGCATATTAAATATAATATACACTTCAAACATTCTAATAAACTGATAACATTAAGGCAATAAAGGTAACTCGTGGCTATCCGTAGATGAGTATAATAATCCGGACAGATTTGGGATGCTCTTGTTATCCTTCTTTCCATGTTGTTGGAAAGATCCTGATGGCCTCAATATGTCCTCTTTTGTTGTTCTTCTTATAGGAACGGTTCTTTCAGGACAACTTCCACTGTGGTGCCACATTTGAGCAATTGGCTTTGATTCAGTTAACCTTCTTCCTTTTGGAAGAAATGTTGGCCTCACCTTCATAGGATAGGAAATAATTGGCCTCAGAATTATGAGTTATGAAATCCAATAAAACTAAAACATAAACTTAGATAAATTATTAATTTTACCTGAATTTTGTGATTCTTCAGTTTTGGATGATCGAAAGCTGGCTGATTCAGAATATGCACGCAGTCAATTATGTCACCATCATGACTCTTCTCTTTTTAATACCAAATTAATCCAAACAATCGTAAATTATGTACTGTTATGATTAAAAAAACAAGAAATAATTTCTTCTTTAAGTGAAAACTCGATGAAAAATATTACAAATTGCTTGATTAATTCTATTATATACGTGCACACTTGTGTGTAAATATATGTATTCCTGAACATGAACCACTAACGCTTAACGTAATCTTCTTTCTTCTCTACCAACGCTACAAACATATACAGGTAAGAAACAATTATATATATGAAAAAGAAATTAAAAACAGCAGACCGAAAAACCAGTCGTAGAAGATGAGTTGGATACCTTAATAGACTTAATAGCTGGTTCATTCAACTTCTTCAGAAGCTTCCTAACCTCAAGTTGCTCAGCAAATCTACCATTGCCAGTCTTGGCCTTGCTGATTGTGTCTTGTTCTGCCATCGTCATGTGCACAGAAGACAATAAAAAGCAGACAACGCTTAGCAGCCAAGTCTTCTTATATGCTAGTTCGTACGCCATGAAAGCTGAGAGATATGAAGCCAGCAACTACTTAAGTGAAAATTCTGACCTGGAGATTCAAGAGTCGATCTTGAAGAAATTTATAGGATGACTTAAGCTTTTTGGAAATTACATAATTATCCTTCTGGTTAAGGAGATTTTTCATCCAAAATACGTCTATTGACAGTTTAACAAGACAATAAAAAGCATGCCTTTCAAACATGGAAAACAGCTTTCAACTTAACAAGGCATCTTTTGTCACATCCCAAACATTCTTACCTGGTTGTGGGGAATCAAAAATTGGGATGAGGATCAATGTAGAAACTAGACAGAGAAATGAAACAACTTTTGATGTGAAATCCCGATAAGGTCTGGGCAGGTATTTTCATAACTATTGGTCTAAGAAAGGCAAAATGGAAAAATTTGAAAAAAGTTTCAGAAAATTCTCAAACAATAGGAAAAGTGTAGAGTAGAGGTTTTAAAAACTCAGTTGAGACCCGAAAGATGGAATTTCGGTGAAAATGATTTACTACGGAATTTTCCGTAAATAGAGGTTTTTCAGGAAATTATCGGGAAATTGAAAGAAAATAATTATCTTAAGTAGTTAGAGGTCTCAATAAATTTTGGAGATTAATGGATAAATCATCTAAATATTTTTCAGAATTTATAAAATTGGTTTTAGGCCTTGAAAGCCTAGGAATTAATTTTAGAAAATTTATTTTCCCTCAGAACTACCGATAGAGGCCTAATCGGAGAAAATTCAAAATAAATACCTAGAGGTGGCAAAAAATTCTGAAAATTTTCAGATCATATTTCCATATTAAAAGGTGAATTATCATGGAGAGAAATGAATTTTTGGAGGTCTGAAAAAATTATGAAATGTTACTAGTGAATAGTAACTGATAAAGTTTCTAATTGGTTTGAGATAGTGATTTGGTTTGTGGGCCATCTTTTTGGACCAGCCCAAACCTTTTGTGGGGCCCACATTGCACCCAATAAGGGCTCAATTTCGTGCACCTTCCAGGTCCCTCCATTTTTATTAAATAAAATGTGAAATTAAGAGATATTTTTGTGGAAAAATCTAGAGAAAAGCCACATGGAGTGATCTGAATATTTTGGACACTTGATGGCTGTCACATACACCTTATTAGGTGTCCAATTTCGTCCAATTGAAGAGGGGTGAGGGCAGATGGAATTTTTCTATAAATACCCCCTTAGAAAATACAAAAAAAATGTTGGAAAATTGGAAAAACAAGGGGAGGTTCTGTCACTGTAGCTCCAGCCCTATTCCTTCAAAATTCTTGAGTGTTTTGGGCAAGGAATCATCCAACTTACACCAAGGAAACATTAAGGTATGTCTAAGCATCATTATCCTTAAGTTTTACATTGATTGGATTAGGATTTTGGCTTGAAAAATTATGGAAAAATACTGTAAAATTCGGTCCAGCCATGTGATGCTTAGGAAAGATAGAAACCTTAATAATCAGGTGGAATAAGGAAGATTAAGTGGTATGTGGATGGATTTTTGGATGAAATCAAAGTTAGGGTTTAAGGGGAGGAATTTCGGTCAGCACTGTTCATGTAGGACCTGATGGTTTTGGCTTGATTTGATGATTCCAATAGCTTTAAAACATGTTTTTGTGTTGGGATATGTTGTTGAAAAGTGTTTAAAATCATTGGAATCAAAAATAGAATTTTTGGAAAATAAATACCCCCTATTCGGCCAAGTGAAGTTCATGGAGAAGGAGTGTGAATTTCAAAAATCTGATTGCACCATTGGATTCCTCATGAAAAATTGTGTATGATTGAGCCATGGGATGATTAATTCTAAAGGAGGAATCATATTGTTAAAAATAAAAAAAACGGGGGGAAATTGTTAAGTTGAAGTTAAAGTGTTGTAATTAAGTTTAGTGGTTAATGTGGCCTATATTTATGCTTGGTTTAATAGGCTTTGTGAGGAGGAATCAAGGAAGATCATTGTTCCTTGAGGTAACCGAATTGGACAAGTGATAAAAGGTAGCTTTGAATTATAATTTGATTGTTAATCTTGCTTGTTTAATGTGATTTGTTGTTTGCTTGAATAGAGGAACTTGTGTTGTGGCATGGATTGGTTGAATAACATTGGTTTATGCTTTGGCCAAATGCATTGGATTATGTCATTGTGGTATTGTTGATGTTCCTCTTTTAGCATGGCATTAAGCATGATTTTATGTGCTTGATTATGCCTTGAGATATGATAACATGTCACATGATAACTTGCTTGATTTGCATGATAATTGTAATTCAAATGCTACTGAGATTTCATGGAAATCTCATTCCTTCTATGTTAAATTATGTCTCAAATAGGGAATGATTCATCCGATGGCAAGGGCAAGGAAATGATTTTGGGATAGAGAAGCAATTATGGAATTGATGCCATTATGTTATGTTGTGTAATGTATTAATGAACTTTATGTTGAGAATATAATGGATTATGAATGATATGTGATGTAAATTATGTTTGTATGATGTGCCTAAATATTGGAATATTGAATAGTATAATATCAAAAGAGTGTAGGAAAAAGGAAAATGGGAGATAAATTAAAGGAAGTAGCATTAGGGGATAAAATCTCCCTAAAAGAGGCCAAACTTATGACACATGAAATAATAAGAAATTGTTGGAATTTGGGCAAGAAATTTTACATGCTTATAGATCTCATTTTTAGCTTTAAATCAAGTGGTAAACCATCAAATTTGAATTTTTGTGCTAAGAGTTATGCCCTTCCAAAGTTGGGCAAAAATACTGAAAATTGAAAAATTGATCAAATAAACCATACATCTTGTCGATTTTTCTGGTGCTTTTTTAGATGGAATTCAGTCCAATGAATATTTGTACCCCAGATAAATCTTAGCAAGCTTTGTGTGAAAATTGAAACCACATCATTTTGATTTTTCTAGAATTAATTATGAATTTTCAAAGTTAGCTCATTTTCAGATGAACAGTGTACGGACATGATAAACAGTAAAATCCTGAATTTTAAATTTTTACCCAGACGTGTTACGAAACAACTTATATTGGTTTCAATTGATGTATAATAGGTTATAAAGAGAGGTGTGACATCTTTCTTGCAGGTTTATTGCAGCTTTCAACTTCTGGGTTCTCATCTTCATGTTCATGGATAAACCAAACATATAATATAGTGTTTTTTCCCCCTTTTTCTAGTTCTGGGAAAATGATTATATATGTTTAGGTTGGACCAAACTTATGGAATCCGACTATGAATTCCGCTAACGTCATGTGTTGCACGACGCTTGATTTGGATAATTAGGTTCTCCTAGAGGACCACCATAAAAGAAGTGGGTACCTAGATAATCAGAGTAGTATAGCAGTTGGAATGGTTACTGGGATTGAAAATTTGAAATAGTCACTTGCATTAGGAGACATAACTTTACGTCATATCCACTATTTTTTTCCTATTGGATCTTATTTATTATATAAAGATTTTAGATGGATTCCACATATCATGAAAACAAAAATATCAAATCAATTTTAAAATACAGGTTTTTATTTTTGGATGAACGAAAAAGTTTTTAACGGGTTGAATTTTAGGATTGATCCTTGTGAATTGATTTGTGTTTAGGATGGGAATATACCTAAGGACCTTGCGTAATTTAAACGGAGTAGCGCGGTAATCATCACTTGTGCTAATTAACATAAAGAATTTTGTAATAAGATTAGGATAAGTGTTTAAGTGATTGAGAAGACACTTATATGCACTAAAGATCCTGAGATAAATAAGAGAAAGAATATAAATCAATCGTGTAAGTTAATTAAATTTGCCTTCTTTATTGTCTATAACACATGAAGTTTTACTAGCTTTCGCCTTTCTTTCGCTCTAATTCTGAAAATTATTCATTGATTGTTGAGTAAAATACATTGACTACCTCTCTATTTTACTTAAATTACAAAAACCTCCCTTCTATTTTGAAAACATATATAAACTTCCTTTCAAATTAAAATATATATTACACAAACCTTCCTTATATTTTTAAGATTTAATTTTCATCCATCCAACCAACCATTAGTTGACTATTAAGTTTGACTTTTAAATTTTTATTTGACTAAAATACCCCTCTTTAACATAAATGTTATTTAAACATTTATATCTAAAAATAATAATTTTTGATACAACAAAAAATAATTATAATACATGTATTTTCAAATTTTTAATATGCTATAAAATTTTTAATTTCAATTATATTATAGAATTATATAATTTTAGTTCCTCATGAAATATTGAAACTTAATTTTTTTTAAATGGTTAAAAAATATTTTGAATGCTTATTTTCTTATCACATAATATAAATTATGCGAGTTTGGAAACTTATATAAATCATTTAAATTGATGTTTGCATTAACTAGATTACTTAATTTTTTAGCCCAATGCGATAAAAACATTAAACAAACAACAATTTTCAAAAGTAAAAAAATAAAATTGAGGTACAGGAGAAAACCTTAAATTCTTCGATATAGTTTTAACCAAGATTTTAGGATTTAGTATTATGAAGGGTAATTTAGCAAATAAAAAGTATTTCAATATAAATTTGAATTAAAAAACTCTTTTTCAAATATTCTTAACGGTGTTAACAGTTTGGATTCAAGTGTATGTTTTCAAAATAAAGGGGAGGTTTGTGTCATTAAGACAAAATACAAGGGAGGTCAAAGTATTTTACTCTTGATTGTTTTGCTTGATCTAAGATAACGAGGGGGTTTAATATTAGGGAAAATCCTAACTAAATCCTGCTAAAATACTTAAATTTAAATTGAGGTCTACACTTTTAACAAATTCTTAATCAGGACATAAGACCTAGTTAGGAATTGTTGAATATTGTTAAATAACTATAATGCCCCTCTTTAGTTAAAAATGAAAATTAATTATTTATCACTCTAAAGTGGTTCATCA